GGTTTATTAATATATTATAAGTATAATATATTAATTGAGGAATCACATTATTTAATTATTATTGATCAAGATTTAACTTGGTATTAATTTAGTGATCAAAAGAAACTAACTAAAGTTATAGGGACTGATTAAGTAAATCAATAATACTTCTAGTTGGGCTCATGACTCATGTTGATTAGAGTTGGACTAAACCTATGTGAAACTCCAAGAAGGTTTAGCCAAAAAGACTAAGAAATGTGAAGAGTCATTAGGGTTTTCATGGATGTAATCCTAAGCTATAAAAGAAGTCCCTAACCCCTAAAATCGGCACCCATGCACATTATAGTGGTGGCTAGATGATTTTGATCTCCTAACTTCTCTCTCAAGTCCATTCTCTTGTTCTTGGTTTGTCATAAGACATTTGAGGCATTACACTTGAGGTCCTAGGCTCCCAAAGGTCAAAGACAAGCAAGCTACTACACAAGGTAATCTTCTAACTGTTTTTATGATTCAAATGGTGCCTTGCATGCTAGTTTAGGCTTTATGCTTTGGAAAAACAATGTTGCATGTATAACTAGAGAAAACTTAGATCCAAAGCATTAGGGTTGTATGTGCACCATAGAAATTTTAGAGTACTTAAAACCCATCAAATATTTCGTTCACAAAACCTGGAGGTTGTTCGATGTAGACTCTTTCTTCAAGCTCTCCATTCAGAAATGCACACTTCACATTCATTTGATAAACATCGAAATTTTTGTGATCAGCATAAGCGAGAAATATGCGAACCGATTCAAGTCTAGCCACAGGTGCGAACGTCTATTTGTAATTTATTCCCTTTTTTTGACAATAGCCTTTAACAACCAAACGTGTCGTATTGTGAATAACATTCCCTTCTTTGTCCATCTTATTTCGGAATACCCATTTCATACCAACCACAGATGCATCTTCCGGAGTAGGAACCAATCGCCATACTTTGTCACCATCAAACTCATTCAGTTTTTCCTGCATAGCTTGAACCCAACCTGCATGGTCAAGAGCAACTTTAATAGTTTTACGCTCAATTTTTGAGATAAATGAATTAACCGTGTAAAAATCCATTTTAGAAAATAATGCAGTTTGCTTTGCTTTTTGTTGACCATGCGTAAGAACTCCTGATGAATAGTCTCCTATCACTTGAGATTGAGGATGATCTTTGGTCCATTTTTTTCATTGGAGGATATTTCTGATCATAGGTTGGATCAATTTCAGCAAACACTTCTTCAAATTCTGATTATCCATCCGAGTCATTATTTTCATTATTCTCCCCCTGGGAGTTTGCATGCGACTCGATATTCGGAATTAGATTCTCCCCCTAGAGAGGAATATCGATATTGAAGTTTGGAGTGGAACTCTCCCCCTGGATTGGAGCATTGAAAGATTTTGGTTGAGATTCATTCAAAACTGGTTGCTCAGGAGGAATCTCCATATTTTTAGCAGCTTCATCCATAACCTTGATCAATTCATCCTCTTTATTGTCTTTTGCTTTTGATTCCGATGAAATTGCCTTGTCAAGTTCATCAAAAAAATTTAGAAAATCCTCATATAAATCCATAAGAGGAATAGTCTTACAATTTGTTGAAGGAAAATTTTCCTTGGTTTGACAATCTTCTTTTTGATATTTCTTCATGTAATTGTCATTAAACGTAACATAGTAGATTTGCTCAATCTTCTTTGAATTCTTTTTTAGAACTCGATAAGTCTTTGATGTCAATGAATACCCCAAAAATATTCCTTCTTCTGCTTTCACATCGAATTTATTCCGATTTTCTTTGGAATTAAGTAAGAAGCACCTGGAACCAAAAACATGAAAGAATTTAACATTTGGTTTCCGATTGTTCAAAATTTCATATGGATTAATCAGAAAACGTTTTTTTGGTGTAGGAGAAATTCTAAGTGAAACAAGTGGTGGCAATAACATCTGCCCAAAAATACAAAGGAATATTCACAAATGATAGCATTGTCCTTGCAGCTTCACAAAGAGAGCGATTTCGTCTTTCAACTACATTGTTGTGTTGTGGAGTGTAAGGCAGAAATTGTGAGAAATCCCTTTTCTAATCTGGAATTCTTTAAACTCGTTATTTTTGAATTATGATCCATTATCACTATGAATTTTTCGAACTGTCTTTCGTAATTGTAGCTCAACCTGCTTGATTAAATCAACCAGCTTCTGTGTAGCTTCGGATTTCTGTCTAAAAAAGAATACCTACTTGAATCTAGAAAAAATCATTAAAAATAACCAAAATATATTTCTATCGATAAATGAAGGACCACAAAGATCAATGTGCAGTAGTTCCAGTGGCTCAATGATTCTTGTATTGATGATAGATGAATGGCTCTTTCTACTTTTTTTCTGAGCTCACAAAGAGCACATAAGTGTTCCTTTTCGAATTTCAGAAGAGGTAGTCTGCGTACGAGATCACCAATCGCATGCTTGTTGATATCCTTGAAGTTCAGATGAGAAATCCAAGGGGAGAGTTCAATTACAAACTTAAATATCGTTTTCCTCTCCAGGGAGAGAATCCAATTCCAAATACATGGTCGCCTGCAAACTTCCAGGGGGAGAATAATGAAAATAATGACTCGGATGCACAATCTTCAGATGATTGGATCTTTGTTATATTTAACCTATAGTCATCCTGACATTATGTTTGCTGTCTATTACTGTGCCAGGTTTCAAGCAAATCCCAAAGAACTACACATGTTGGTAGTTAAGAACATACTCTGGTATCTAAAGCGAACCACTTCTCTTGGTCTATGGTATCCATCCAATTCATGTTTCTTTGTGCAAGCTTACTCCGATGCTAACTTAGGGGGTTGTGGTCTTGATCGGAAAAGTACATCAGGAGGATGTCAGTTTCTGGATGGCAAGCTTGTTAGTTGGCAATCTAAGAAGTAGACATGTGTCTCATTGTCTATAGATGAAGGAGAATACATTGCAGTAGCATCATGTGCTTCCCACGTGGTGTGGATTCAGAATCAATTAAGAGATTATGGAATCAATATGAAGTGAATTCTGTTGTATTGTGATTCCGAAAGTGCAATAAGAATCTACCACAATCTACTACAACACTCCAAAACAAAGCATATAGCACTGCGATACCACTTCATAAAAAGATCATGTCGAGGATGGCAATGTAGAAGTTAACTTTGTTTGATCCTTAGATAGGTTAGATGATATCTGCACTAAGGCCCTACCTAAAGAATCATTTAATCGTATTTTACAAGGGTTGAGAATGATTAAAGTCGACTCTGTTGCAAAATCCGCTTCATAATGATCATTGGTCGGAAGTTACTGTTCCATTCTGAATGGCTCCAAGCTACGGCATGGTTCGGAATATAATGTTCATATTCTGACTTTTTTCTAGCTTCGAAATGGTTCGAAATTCTTTGTTTACTTATGACTCGCCCAGATCGTCGGAATGATTCTAAAATTACTGTTCATTATGGCTCCGGAATCTTTCATCTTTGTAAGTCTTTTCTTATTTTCTTTACTTTTGTGCACTTCTTTTTTTATGTTATGAAGTTACTGTTTAAATTCATTATTTTTTGAAAATGAAAATTCCAAAATATTTTATTTGTTTATGTATTTTTCCTTTTCAAAATTCAAAAATATCAAAAATATTTTCTTCTTTTTAGTGTTTTCAAAAATCGAAAACATCAAAAACATCAAAAACATTTTGGTTTCTAAATTCATTTCTATTTTTAAGTCTGCAATAAGGAATTGATGGTCGACTTAATCACCTCTTTCTACCATATCTCATTGCAAATTTCATGTAGCTTCCTTGGCTATCGGAACAAAAAACTAGTTTCGGTATAAGGCTACAAAACTCTAGTTAACGATCGTAAAATTATTGTCAACATGATTTTCGTGAAACTCACAACCATTCTACTACCAATCTTACTTCTGTATCATAACCCTTAAGACTCTTAGGTTTTATAACTGAATTTTAGGTTATAAAACATATGTGTTTGTGATCTTGAAATCCTTATTACCATGATTTTGAGTGAAACCCAAAATCCAAAAATATCATTTCTAAATTGACGGTCAACAATTCATTGTTCTAGTTATATTGCCAGGTGAATTGATGGATAAAAACTTTTTGGTTTGTACTCTTGTGTCTTTAAAATCACATCTTTTATTTTTGAGTGATCTTAATGAAATACTCTCGACCTAAGACATTTCATCCCAATAGATCCAGTTTTATTATGAGATTTCGTAATAAAGATTTTCCAAATTTACCATCTACTTTCAAAGAATATTCCACGCTTACTTGTTTTTATGGCTACACTGGTCAAAAAAGTACTTCTGTAAGATCTTCAGACTTATTTTAAGTTTCGGAATCTGGTTGAAGCTAAAACCACCCTTTAAAGCCTTTATAAAAGAAGCATTTCACAATTTCTCAACAAACTGATGATCGTAATTCAATGGGAAACCACACAAGCACTTAAGAGTCTCTCTTGACTCAGAAGGAAGAGATCGTATGTCGGGATCAATTATTATTTCATATCAACATTGCTTGATATCACTAAATCCCACATATTATTTGCTTTATTTCTTTTTCTTTGGCACACTCTTGCATTAAAATCCTCTTGATTTTACCAAGTTTGGTTTCAATTCCGATTGGATGTTGATAGAGTTAGAAGGAAAAACAACAATTCTGAAACGACTAGTTCAGAACATGGTGAATCTAAAACGTCTAATGGCTTTTGGATAACTTCACTTGTTAGCGCGATTTTAGAATTTCCCTGTCACACGTGGTTGTTGTAACGGATTCTGACAGTCATTGATTAGTTGTCACAGTTTTATTGGCTGATTTTTCATCGTGCACGAATACGAAGCGGTTGTTTCTCTGACCACTCATCATCTACCATATAAAAGGGACTTTCAAACGGTTTTCTTTCTCACCACAAACACAATTCTCATAGTCTCAAAGCAAAAACCCTTCTACTCTATACTGTTCATCATCTCTCTCACAACAAAAATGGCAGGGTCATCTGAAAACGTTTTGTTTGCTAACCAGTCTACCTCTGTCATCATGCTTTCCATCAAACCTAACCAGAACATGATCATTGACCTTGATGCATCACGCTACAATGAATTGATCAGGCCTATGATTGACTGTCTCAAGTTCTCACCATTGATGAAGGTGTTAACCTTGGCCGAAATTGTTTCTCTTGTTCATTTATCGAAATCATTCTTAACTGCCATTAACATAAAGTCAGATGATATTATCAACTTCGAAGTTGCAAACCACAAAACATCGATCTCTAAGCCCCACTTATGCAAACTACTAGGGCTCACTACGTCAGAAGTCAGTGTTGACCCTGAATCGATTCCATCCATATCCATGATAGAGATGTTATACCATATGGGGTACTCCGGTGACATCTCCTTGCTCTCCAAGTTTCGGAAGTCTTCTAGACCCAATGTAGAATGGATTATTTATACTACTATTCAAGAGCCTATCAGAAAGGGTTTATGGGTCTAACAGGGCTAGAAAGATGTTCTACACACTAATCTACGGCTTATACCATGGTATCAATCTTGATTTCGGGGCAGTTATTTGGACTCAGCTGATTTAAAGCACCATTACATCTTCTCGCCACACAGAGATCTTATGTGTCCGATTTTGGTCAATAGTGGTCAACCGGGATCTTGGTTATTTTAAAGTATCTATGATGAAATATTTATAATGGAAAAGATTCTGACCCTCCAAACGTCTACCTTTGTGATGTTGGATCCTAGAAATTTCAACTTTATTGGATCGATTCTGGTTGATATGTTGGAAAGAGTTCCTCTTGACAACTCTATTGTAAGGTAGCATCGAAAGTTACCCTCTTCAGGTGTGCATCCAATGTCTGCTGATCTAAGGAAATTGATTGATGAAAGCAACAAGCTAAAACATCGTGGAAAAAGGAAGGCAAAAGCTACTTATTCCGAAAGCGTCAGGGTTCCAAAAAAGACAAGAAGCCAACAAAGAAACCAAGATCTCCATCTCCGGTATTTCAAGAAGAATCAGAATCAAGAATTGTTATGGAAGTTCAAGAGGACAATACAATCAGACATGAGAAAGAGGAACAGGATACTACATCAACTTTGAAACCAACCCCTATAGAACATATTCTGAAGGTATCTTCTCCACCATCCTCCATTGTTCCAACTTCTAACATTTTTTGGAACATTCTGAAAGAACCATTTCTGAACCTCTCTATTACTCCATCATCACCACTTGTTATTCCATCAACTTTACCCATGTCATCCTCACCTACTACATCCACAAATCCGATATCATCTATCCCTCCTTTACCACCAATGAATTCTGTTGGAATTTCTCTTCCTCATATTTCAATCGCTCTATCCTCTCCCATCTTTACTGATTCAACCGCTCCTACTACATCATCAGTCTCAACTCCACTAGAAGTCACTGTAATTAAATCCGTTTCAAAGGATATACAAACTTCAGGCATCCATGTCAACGTATCTGATACGGGGGCAAATGCCAATATCGGTGTGACTTTCGGACCTGGTACATCTATTGCTTCTCCTTTCAATGATGATGAAGAGATTCTACTCGCAGATGAACAAGAACCCATAAAGGAATTTGTTTTTCAACCCTTCAATATTAACATCAACAGTGATGAAGACAAAGCTCCCATGACCAAGGGATAGTTCAAGCAGTTACAAGATAAGCTTGACTTAATTTTGGATTCCTCTCAAGCCTTTTCGTCTTCTAAGTGAGAAAATCTCCTGACCACCCATCGAGCAACTGTGGGGATGCTCATTTATACAAATTCAAAGGTTATTGAAGAATCCACTAAGGCTGCCCAAGCCTCAGACAAGAAAATCATTGAAGCTGTGGAAAAGGTTTCACTCTTACAATCCGAAGTCAAATAATTCATGGCTGATTTTAGGGCCTCTTCAGATAAGAGTACAACAGATATGAACAAAGTTATTGAAGCTTTTGGTTCTTATTTGAAGGATGAGAGGGAAGCTCTGTCCATGATTTGTGCTAACATTAAGTTGGACAACATCGATCTGAACTCCACCATCACCACTCAACTTGATAACTTAAAGGTTGACTTGGCTACAAAGAATAAAATCATGGATGCCCTAGCAGAGCAAATTCAGAAGGAAAAAGTTCTGAATGAAAATTGAATCATGCCAAATTAGAAGTTGTTAGGCTTCAAGAGAAGAAGTTTTCTATATAGGTTTGTAATTCAGAAATTCATCAAAGATTGTTGAGAATCGTTGAGACCAGATCTCATCCATTTAGTGATATAGTACAACTTTCACTCTCAGAAAAACTTAAGCTAGTGTTTGCCTTGCTGAATTAGATCCTTGGTGTTTCGAGAAGCGGTGCTCCTTCGAAACAAGGTAGAGAATAGGAAGTTAAAGTGAAAGATGAAATCGGTCAGAAGGGTAATGAGGCTTCTGGATCAAGGAAAGACAAGGGAAATAAATTGATAAAGACGATGAAGAAGAAGAGTTGTCCGAATCAGAGAAGCTTATACGAAAGAAATATCACAAAGAGCTTGATGATCTCATTGCTTTTCGATAGAAGCTTGAGGCAGAAGAGGCTGAAGTCAGAAATTCAGCTTTCATTCTCAAAAATCAAATGTCCTTATTTCCTGTTTGGACTATTCAGCAAATTCAGAAGGAAGCCATCGATCTTCCAGAACTATATTGGCTGGGACCGAAGACATCATTCGATAATTTCAATGATATAGAATACCAGTTGGACTTTCCCCTCACCCCAAGAGCATTTCTGTTTCGATGCATCCAAAAGATTGAGAAGACTCAAATCTCCAACAACATGATCAACAGAAAACTCTTCAACTTTTATCTCAAGTATGGATAGCCTCAATATGAGTCTTGGAGTCTAAAGATCATCCTAGGTTTGAAGGTTGGATTACCTATCGATATCGAAGATTTTTCGAACAGTCACTTCAAAGGATTTCAGGGTTCGTTCATGTGCTTCATGAATTTACTTTGCCTGATTTGCCTTTCATGAATCCATATGATTGGATTTCGCTATTGAACATAGTTGCAAAGGATGGAAACAAATACGAACCCATCTAAAGAAGATGATTAAATGCTACATCATAGAGATTGCGAAGATGGATATAGAGATCACCTCAGTTCTAAAGAAAAGACCCTTAATTAAGCCATTTGAAGAACCTAAGGACATCCAAGATATGTCATGAGGATTAATTGAGAAGGAATATTGGAGCATCGTGTATAAGAAGAAGGAGGGTGGTGTTCTATAGAAGCATGTGTTCTTTTTAAGAGACAAACACTTGTATTCCACAAGCGTAATGAATCATATTTTGGCAAGGGCTAAAGTGAACAAGGCCAATATTGATTCGGATTCGAAATGTGTTTCGGATATGATTCAGTGGTATCAAGCTGTCTAGGCATCCCTTCTGAAAGTAATGCCTAAGGTTTTCTAAGCACAAAGACAACAATGAAGACTCTCTTCCAATTTGACACAAAGGGGGAGATTGTTAGGTCTAAATAATATGTTGTATCAAATCCGTATACAAATTTGTCAATCATCGGGCCCCGCCCGGTATACATATAACATACCAACACATGTAGTAATCACAATGATAAATAGCATAAAAGATAGATATCGGGCCTCGCTCAACATAAGGCCCTGCCCGGTAACATATAAACACATATCACATGCAAGACTCACACAGAAAGCTAGCATACTAAACATGCAAACCATGGGTCGACATTGTTACTTACGACGCGCTAAATATGGTGAGGAAACTCACCTCTAGCTGCTGAAACACTCGATGAATCTCTGTCTGCTGGTCCAGAAAATCCTCGCGCTATCATCATCAAAATAATGTCCAATTAATAATTAGATCCTAACCCAAGACCAAGAGTCTAAGCTTCCTAGCCCATAACCAAGGTAACATACCATTTTACCCTTGGTCATACATGGCCCAAAATCAAGGCCCAATCCACTATTTAAAAGACCCAAATCCTATTTGGCAACCCAAAGCCCAATATAGCCCAATCCTCCAAATTAGGCCCAAAACCCACCATGGGCCTAAATCCAAGGAAGCCCAAAACTACAAACAATTCCAAAATCAGAAGTCTAATGGCCCTACAAAGGCCCAAATCTTAATGGTCTAAAGCATGGCCGAAAAATACAAACCCACAATGTATTCGGTCGAGATGAGCATAGACTCGGCCTATCAAGCTCGTATACCCTATGTATGCAATCGATGTAGACACAGACTTGCAACTAGTACACTTAGCATACCCAGGAGTACGCCCCGCATACCGGACTGATCCCAACTCTTTGGCCAAATGACTTAATCACTTCAGAACTTACTATGCAATCCACAACTAGCCTTTTCTTTGGACCTATTGCTTGATGACCCGAATTGGGACTTTCCCTTCCAATTCTGCTTTGGAGCACCTTTCCTCTTCTTCCCTTCTCCTTGCCCAATGGATAGGACTAGAGCAGCAACAGGCGTGGAGGCAACACTTTTTCCCTTCATTCCTGCTTCATCAGTTCGCAGGTGGTTCTAAAGTAGGACCAATGTGGTCTCTTGGCTGATCAGATGATAAGTTAAGATAAACTGATCAAAACAACTGGGAAATGAGTACAACACTATATCAATAGCCAATTCCTCATTAAAGTTCACATTGAGCATTAGCAAGCGCTCCATGTATCATTACATTCTTTGCACGTGGCTAGTTACGGACTCTCCATCTTTCATCTTGCTAGTGATAAGGGACTTTACTACCCCATACTTCTCTTGACGATCTTGTTGATGGTACTTTTCCATCAAGTCCTTGTTCATCTCGTATGGCCAGTAATCCTTGTAGAACCTTTGTAGCTCAGGAGTCATAGTCGCCACTATGATCCACGCAATTTTAGTTACATCATTGTAGTGTTTCCTATACTCAGCTAGTTCTGCGAAGGTAACTTTGGTTTCATCAAACTCGAGAAGTTCCTATTCGAGCACATACTCCTTGTCCTCGAAACAGAGAGCCATTTTTATGTTTCGCATGCAATCGTTATAATTTGTGCCATCAAAAGTAACCCTCGGAAAGATGTTCAAAATTGAGAAGTTGTTGTTGGCGGAGGAACCAAAAGCATCGTTGGGAGTAGACATCTGAAATAGAAGGAATATAAGTTTTGGTTAGATAGGAGTAATCCTCAATATAACACCCAAATGAAATATTGAGTCTAGGATTCAACTAGATAATTCATAACTTAGAAAAGGGATGTCATAATCTAATTGTGAAATGAATAAAAGTAGGTAAATGACGATTTACCAATTTCACCATGAAAAATGAAATTTGAACGAATTAGGTTTTTAATGAAATTCCTAGATCTCTTAAGATTCATTGAACTATTCAATGGCATGTTTAATCTCTTTTATGCTCTTCCATTTGTGACTAGGATACCGAGGATCACAAACAAGATATGAATAACCATGCAAATTAGCTTGGTACTCTCGATGTCATTTATCATCTCATTTTAATGTGTCAGTTAGCCACACGTGCTCCATTAATTAATGATAATTTCCGAGGCACCCATTGCCACTCTTTATAAGTCCCTATTAGTGTGTTGGTTAACCACGAATGCTCCACTAACGACTTATAAATTGCAATGTGCTATTAAATAGGTTAGCATACAAATTCACATTTTTCTTAAAGTAACTAACATTGGGAATATTATAAAAGATTTAGTTACTTTATAATTCATTATACTTATTAATGAGAATTATTTGTCATATCAAGCCCGTTCGGTTAATGACCCTCCACCAATCAAGGAAGTGGTGAGTGAGAATGGACACCCATTCAACTACCATTTTATAGGCAGTTTCCTTATACCCCTTTATAGATCGGCTTCGTGAATGAGGCGTACTAGCGGTTGGACTGACTTGGTCTTATACATATAGTAAATATTAAACACTTAATTTCACATATAGTATAAGGTGTATTTTAAACATTTCAAAATACTAGGTTTAATTACTAAATTTTGAAATTTAAAACATTTAATTTAAAATTAAAATTAAACCATATGATTTAATAATTTTCCATTAATTAAGCATTTAATTAACTTACTAAATCAATTTGAGGATTATCCAATTAAATTAATCAAGATAATTTAACCTAGTCCTCCCCCCCCCCCCCCCCTTCTAAATTTCGAAAATCATGGGAGGGATAAATCAAAATTTATAATTATCCAATTAATCAAAGAAAGAGATAATTACCAAATATAAGATAACCCTACCAGAAACCTTAATTTTCGAAAATTGGCTTATCTTGGGGAGGAAGGCAAGGATTTGAATCCTTGCCATTTTCAAAATTCATGAGGGTTAAGGAAACCCTAATTTTGAAGTTTTTAGGGCAAGGGAAAGGGTTAAAACCCTTTCCGAATTTTCGAAACCTAAGGTTCAAGAAACCCTAAAATCGAAAATCCATAAGTCCAAAAGGGTTTAATTTACATAAACCCTAATTGAACAAATTCAAACAATTGTAATCAATTCAATAGAAAACAAACCAAGACTTTGATACCACTGATGGGTTTTGAGTATAACAAACAAAAAAACCTATGTGTGCATGCAACCCTAATCTTGATCTATGTTTTCTCTAATTGAACACACAACATTCGAACATTGCTTGATATCACTAAATCACACATATTATTTGCTTTCGAACACAAGCACTTCAGAGTCTCTCTTGACTCAGAAGGAAGAGATCGTATGTCGGGATCAATTATTATTTCATATCAACATTGCTTGATATCACTAAATCCCACATATTATTTGCTTTATTTCTTTTTCTTTGGCACACGCTTGCATTAAAATCCTCTTGATTTTACCAATTTTGGTTTCAATTCCGATTGGATGTTGATAGAGTTAGAAGGAAAAACAACAATTCTGAAACGACTAGTTCAGAACATGGTGAATCTGAAACGTCTAATGGCTTTTGGATAACTTCACTTCTTAGCGCGATTTTAGAATTTCCCTGTCACACGTGGTTGTTGTAACGGATTCTGACAGTCATTGATTAGTTGTCACAGTTTTATTGGCTGATTTTTCATCGTGCACGAATATAAAGCGGTTGTTTCTCTGACCACTCATCATCTACCATATAAAAGGGACTTTCAAACGGTTTTCTTTCTCACCACAAACACAATTCTCATAGTCTCAAAGCAAAAACCCTTCTACTCTATACTGTTCATCATCTCTCTCACAACAAAAATGGCAGGGTCATCTGAAAATGTTTTGTTTGCTAACCAGTCTACCTCTGTCATCATGCTTTCCATCAAACCTAACCAGAACATGATCATTGACCTTGATGCATCACGCTACAATGAATTGATCAGGCCTATGATTGACTGTCTCAAGTTCTCACCATTGATGAAGGTGTTAACCTTGGCCGAAATTGTTTCTCTTGTTCATTTATCGAAATCATTATTGTAGGGTTTCAAAGCACTCCATGGATGATGGCAATGGGCCCCTTTGATGAATTCTAGGTTAAAAGCCCAAGACTTGTCTTTTCCCTATAAATAGTCATGTATTATTCACAATTAGGGTTAAGAGAGTGAGGCAAAATGTAGCCGCCACGTGAGGTTTCTTGTAGAGTTAGATTCTTATTTCTTTAAGTGTAATTTATTCCTCATATTTCAATAAATCGAGTGATCATTCGACATAATCTTCATTATTGTGTTTGTTCTTATTTTCCGCATCTTGTTCATCAAATCACAATTAGGGTTTTCATCCCAACAATTCTTAACTGCCATTTACATAAAGTCAGATGATATTATCAACTTTGAAGTTGCAAACCACAAAACATCGATCTCTAAGCCCCACTTATGCA